GCAAGATACGTAGAACTTTGTATCGATACCTAGTTGCAAGGAATCTCTTTATCAATCTCTTCTATTCTGCGTCTCTGACGGGGGATGTACGCGCGAAGTGCTGTTCGCTGATTTTAACGAAACTTTGTAGGAAATTGGAAAACTTGTTTAATTCGTATTTTCAATAATTTAAGATATATATACGAAAAATTCTTTCGCTTTCGTTGAAATGAAATCACAGTGATTTCTAATTTTGTTCATTTCATTGTCAACTTACTTCGCTAAAAATAAATTATTAATGAAATTCTCTTCCTTTTTTAATTGATTTCTTTAAATTTAAAATATATTACAGAAAATTAGATTTTTCATTACGGAATATTTCATATTTTCAATAATTTAACAAATATGTATGGAAAATTCTGTCGCTGTGATTTTTAATTTCATTCTAAACGGTGTCGTAGATATTTTTGTTATCGTAAATCAACTCCCTTCGCTAAAAATAAATTATCAACGAATTCTCTTCTTTTCGAATTAAAATTTCTATTTTTTTTTTGTATAGATTTTTTTAAATTTAAAACATATCACAGAAACTTAGATTTCATTTCAGAGCATTAAGTCTCTCAAGAAGGAGAATACTGTCGTTGTTAAATAAACCGCAAAATGTGAATTGAAATCTTGCACAATTCTCCATTTCTCTACAAATTTTCACGGAAATCAGCGTGCAACACCTCGCGTGAAAATACTCGAAGAAGTACTAAATAAAATTACGAATCGTCTTAACTATCTTAGATTAGACCTTCCCATTGGTATCACGTCCGTAGTGATGCCAATTCTTCAACGAATGCTCATGCTTGACACTCTTCATCCCCTTAATTGCTTCCCTTCTACTAGCTCGTCTGAATTAGCGAAGAGAAAACTGATTCCCCAATGTGTCCTGATCACCGAGCACCAAAAATACTGTTAGTAAAAAAAAAAAAAAATCACACAGGTATACAACTAACACGTATAAACACACACAGTACACTTAAACATCACGATAACACTGAACATGGGTGTGTTAACGATTAAAGAATGCGTAGTGGCATAAAAAAAATATATATATAATTATATACCTTTAGCTTCGTTTTGCCTCTGTCTACATATATAACGTACTTGACAACTCTCTCGATGTTTCTGTCTCTGTCTGTTTGTCTATAACTGTCTGTCTGTCTGTCTGCCTCTCATCCATCTGATGCTCTTGATACTCAAACTGATCTTACTCGATTCTCGCTCACTTCTTATTTCAAGCAAGAATCACCTACTATCATCTCTATGATCTACTTCCATAGTATTAGAAACAAAGAGAAACGAATGTTGACAAAAAAAAAGAGTTAACCCTATCTCTCCCTCGAAAAAAAAGGATTAGAATAAAATGAAAAGAATCAACGTTGCGCAATGGTGTGTTTCTTTCGTTTCAATGGGTTTGTCGAATGGAACGCAAGTAGGATTAATTTGTCTGCTTATGTCCATAGAGGAAAGTGTGTGGAACGAGATGTTTTCAAAGAGATATGCTCTCCTTAGCAAGAGGTCTTGCGTCACGAATCATGCATGGTTTCTTTTTATTTTTGATTGCAAGAAAAGTTTCCACGGAGCTTCTGAAAACAGAGTGAAACGATCCAAGAGACACGGGGAAACCGTTCTTTTGTTCGTTTTGATCGGTTTTGTACGCGGTTTGCACGATGCACCGAGCCCCACGCGATTTATCGACGCAAAAGCGCGCGTAGAATGCGTTTCACTGAAACTGTAGCAACAGTTATCTTTTTTCTTTTTGTCCTGCTGGAATCTCGTTGGATGATTCTTTCTTTGGTTTCAGTACAAGCGACGAATACACGCGCGCGTTGCAACTTTTCTCGTGTCGTTTCTTTCTTTTATCATTTTTATTACCATTATGTATATTCATAGAAACCAATTAGTCGTTTGGTTGTGTATTTTTTTACGAGACCAGAAGGAAAGGAAACTATTGCGGAGGAGCTGGTGATTTTAATTAAAGGCAATTTGTCTCCGTTCGCTGGAGACGAGCTTTAAAATCCCCTCCATGGCCACGCGGCGGCAACCATAAATTTTCCAGGCAGCTTACTACTCGTAAGGAACAGCGCCCACGACGCTGGCGCTCTCCTATGTACACGATGGGACGCTCAGAAGTGTTTACCGGAGCTTTTGTCGCTGGGTTTCAAGTTCTAGGAAAAAGTGATACGAAAGACAATGGTTCTTTTCGCAAAGAAATTACATGATAATTCGAAGAACGCTTCTTTTTTTCTTTTTTTTTTTTGAGTCTTCTTTAAGTGTCCTTTTTAACGTCTCCTTTTAAATTAATTAAAAAGTAACTATTATATTGCTTCCTTGTATCTTTTGTTTTTAACTTATTAATTTTTGCACGTAAGTGAAAAATTTGTTTCAAAGTTCTGCTGCTTTTCGATATAAAAAAATTGAAAGGCAATAATCTGGAAATACTTGGATTTTTATGTTTATTAATCTTTGCAAATTTTATCAGTCATACTTTTTGCACGTGAGTGAAAAATTTTGTTTTGAAGTTCTGTTGCTTTTCAAGATCAAAAAAAAATTGAAAGACAATAATCTGGAAATACTTGGATTTTCCTTTTTCAGTGAAACTAGTTTTCGTTCTTATTACTTTTTCGTAGCTTCGCACACCCATTTTTCAGTATCCCACGCTGTAACGTGGAAAATTGGATCTGTGAATATCCCTGAATAAGTCCTAATTTCCTACATTGTCCTGTGAAAGATTTTTGATGTACGAAGTGTCTAAAAAGAAAGAATTTTATCAGGTTTCTTTACCTTGGTGTTATCGGTAGACGTTAATTAGTGAAAAATGAACGTAGGAAGAATTTAATGAATACGAAATTCAATTTACCTAACCTAAATCCTGCTGGCTTCATTTTACTGATCATACAATTACAAAGAATTTACGGAACAAAAGACAAAATTTCGTTATATTCTTCGTTCTACCTTTCTATATTAACAAAAAATACTAGAAAAAATTCAAACGAACGGAGAACAATATTTTCTACATTTCTTATCTTCGTTTCAATAACCTACACTGCTAACAAATAGTAAAAAGAAATTGAACGAGCAGAAAACGACATTCTGCTATTTTTCTTTCTCGTCGTTCTCCCAATTCGCGATAATAAGAAAATCATGGTAGAAAGAATTTTGATAAAATCTCGACCAAATGTGAATAAACAGAAAACAATATTTCCTACACTTTTACCATCGTTTCAATAACCTCTACTACCAAAAAAAAAACAAAAATTCAACCAGCAGGTATCCAAATTCTGTTACATTCCTCTATCATCGTTTCCCCAATTCACGCCAATGGAAAAGAATCCAACGAAACGAGGTACGAAAATTCTGACATATTTTTTTCTACCTTTGTATATTATCAATTTGAACGAAGAAACCCGCCTTGGAGAATTTCAAGAAGCGAACTCGAAACGTCCCACCGTCTGCCTCGCTCCATATTTAACCCAATAAACTCGACATCGTGAAATCGAGTTCCGGAAAGTTTTATCCGAACGACGCTCGGTCCATTGTTACGAAGAGCGCGATGGTAACACGAAATTCGGTCAAGTCGCGAGTGCCATTTATCGGAATGGCGGGAAACAAGCAATCGTACAAGTTCCTCGCGAGCATAGTACGTTACTTACAACGGCAGTCGTGCACCAAAATGGCGCGCAGACTTGGCAGTTTCCAGGCGTCTTTGTTTGTTACGTGCCGAAAAATTTACTGCGCTCTACCAAGGAAATTCGCTCGTTAGAGACGACAAATTGCCCGACACGGACGTGCAGTTACTCTTTCGGAAAGATTAAAATGGTAATTAAGCGAGAAGAGTGAAAAAAAAAAAGAAAGAAGGTTAAGTAGTAGTCAACGGCCATTTTTGTTGTTTCATACGTGCAAAATTATTCCGTTTCTAGAGACGCGAAGTTATTCATTTCTCGTTCTTTTTGTTTTATTTCTGGAGGGACGACGATAATGTTTCGTTTTAATTAGGCGAAATTTTCCCACACGCCCGTTGTTTCACTTTCCACGATCGATGCTGTATATTTGTCGCGTAACATTTGTACGGAAGACGTGGAACTGGTCTTAATTGCTGTGCACGATGTGAACGGTATTTTATCGTGGTTCGAACAAATTTGAATGGAACGCCGCGATTTTCATTTGTCGAGTAATTTAAACGTTTGCACGCGCGCGTGTCTGTTATACAATTACGGGTGATTTTATCCGGGAACAGAATTTTCTGTTAATTGTGATTACACGTGTAACGGAACGTTCGGGAAAATTTGATAATTGGACAAATTGGTTAATTCGTTACAGAGTCGTGGAGTATTCCTTATTTTCAATTTCAGTGCTTACCGAGGAATTGTGAATTGTTAAACAGATAGTCTTTGTTCGATGAAAATTGAAAATAATACAAAAGAAACGTACAATATCTATCGTATAAGGTAATACAATTATGCACAAGTATTTGCATTTTCGCCTTTGTGAACATTTCTAACGTTACATCCTTGAAGTAACAGTTCAACACAAATGAATCATACAACGAAGTAAGCGCTACAGCAATGAAAACAAGAAGCCACAAATCACCTGCATGCGATAAAAGACACATCGTGAAAGTTTGTACGAAAACTCTTAGATTACCTTATCAGCTGATTCTCGATTCACTTCGAAACAGCGAAATGGAAAATAAATATTCCACGACTGCGTGAAAAAGCTATCACGACAGCCATACCGTATTTTCCACGCAAGAATTAAAATCGAAAGCTCTCCCCGTGTTAAAAAGTTCCTCCTCGTAAAGCTGCCCGACCACCATGCCTCTAGGTAAGCAACAGAACATCTAATCTCTCTGATCTCCGAGCAGAGCCTAACTAAAAAGAAACGAACTCTCTCTCTCTCTCTCTTCGGATCGGGTGCTCGAAGCTTCCGCACTTCGTCCCTCACTGGCGATCTATTTCTCTGTCTGTTCGCAGGACGAAGAGCAACCAGCGTTGGATGAAGCTGCGCACCACGGTCCAGCTATCGTCCGCGATCTCGACGATCCAGAAGAAGCCGCCGTTGAAACGCGAGGACTCGTTTCTCAAGCGATTCTCCACCAGACAGATCCCGGAGAGCCAGGAGACGTTGGACACGGCGGAGGGCGAGGGAGACGCGGCCGACGACAAGGACTCGAGCGGGCGTCGTCGACGACGGCCGAGGAGGCCGCAGAAACCGCCGAAAACCGTGGTGAACCCCGACGAGAATTTCTACTACTACTGGCTGATGCTTCTATCCGGCTGCGTGCTCTACAACCTATGGACGTTGATCGTTAGACAAAGTCTACCGGAGCTGCAAGCTCTGGCGCCTGCCACGTGGCTAGCCTGTGACGGCTTCACAGACCTGGTGTTTTTCCTCGACGTAGCGGTGCAGTTTCGTACCGGATACTTGGAGCAAGGATTGATGGTCTACAATAGTAAAAAGTTGGCCGGTCATTATCTGAAGTCGAAGTCGTTCATATTGGATCTGCTGGCTTTGTTGCCTTTAGATATACTGCAAGTGAATCTGGGCAGCAATCCAATGCTGAGGTTCCCGAGGTTCCTCAAGATCTATCGCGTGTACAATTACTACTACATGGTCGAGTCACGGACCGTGTATCCGAACCTGTGGCGTGTGCTGAATCTCATACACATACTGCTGATCCTGGCTCACTGGTTTGGCTGCTTTTACTACCTGCTGAGCGAGGCAGAGGGGTTCCAAGGTGACTGGGTCTACCCGTACAGGCCCGGGGAGTACGCGACCTTGACGAGGAAATATCTCGGCTCGCTGTACTGGTCCACCCTCACGCTGACCACGATCGGCGATCTACCCACGCCGGAGACCAACGCCGAGTGAGTGATATGTCTCTACGACTGT